TTATTTATTTTTTTTTTTTCTAAATTATGTATTATTGTTAACAACACGTAAAGTAGGTCTTGTTGATGAGTTGTCAAAATTTCAAACGCATCTGCTGTGGCAAAAAAAAAAAACGGCTGTGGCGCAGCTTTGACGTCATAAATCCGCGCCGTGTTTGTTGTTCGGCTAGATGAAAAGTAAGGAGGATCAGCTGGATTCAGAACACTTCAGGAAGGGATAGATAAAGTAAGTAAGTGGGGAATAGAGTGGGGTTTCAGATTTTCAGTTGAAAAGACAAAAGTCATGTATTTCACAAATAAAAAGATCGGAGTTAATAAAAAGTTAAAATTATACGGAAAAGAGTTAGAAAGGGTTGATTATTTTTGTTTTTTGGGAGTAGTGTTTGATAAGAAATTAACTTGGGGAAATCACATAGATCATATCATAGAGAAGGGTAAAAAGGTACTAAACATTATGAGGTGTTTAGCAGGGTTGACATGGGGTGCAACATTTGAGTCACTTAAACATATTTATGTGTCATTAATTCGGTCAAGAATAGATTATGGGAGTGTGGTGTATGGATCAGCGGCTAAAACTCGACTAAATAAATTAGATGTCATCCAAGCTAGAGCACTGAGAATTTGTTTAGGGGCAGTAAAATCAACTCCAGTATGTGCTCTACAAGTAGAGTCAGGAGAAATGCCATTATGCATTAGAAGACAGCAGTTAATGGCTAATTATTGGATAAATTTGAAAGGACACAATGAAACTCATCCAGTTAAGAAAGTGTTAGAAAATTGTTGGGAAAGAGGAAAGGAGCTTAAAAATAGTTTTGGGTGGATAGGGGATAATTTAGCAAGAACATTTAAAGTATATAACAAAGAATTTAATTCAACAGTATTATGGCCCTTAAGGCCTACATGGGCATGGAAATATGTTAATGTAGATAGATCATTATTAAATATTAAGAAAAGGAAAACTACAGATATTTGTCAAGAATTTTATGATCGAGTAGAGAAGAAATATAATGATTACCTGCAAATCTATACAGATGGTTCAAAAGATCCAAAAACTGAAGCAACTAGTGTAGCAGTAGTGATTCCTGAATTAAAGATTAAGCTTTCGAAAAGAACATCTAATTTTCTGAGTATATATGCAGTAGAATTATGTGCTATATTATTGGCTTTAGAATGGGTGGAGGATAGTAGAACAAGTAAAATTATAGTTTGCAGTGATTCATTATCAGCAATATTAAGCATTGAAAAGGGAACCTCAAGTAATCACCAACACATCTTGTATGAGATTCTGTTTGTTCATCATAGACTTTGTGAACAAAACAAAACTATAGTAATTATGTGGACTCCTGCTCATTTAGGTATTTTAGGTAATGAAAAAGCAGATAGGGTGGCTAAAGAAGCTGTTAAAAAAGAAGATATTGATATGTCAATAAAATTATCTAAGTCTGAAGGAAAAAGTATAGTTTGGAAAGAAAGCAAGAAATTATGGGAAATGAGCTGGAATAATGAGACAAAAGGGAGACATTTATACAGGATACAGAAAACAGTTGATGTTAAAAGAATCGGAGGAATAAATAGGAGGGAGGAGATAATTATAAATAGAATAAGAACCGGGCATAGTTTTTTGAATGGCACTCTTTTTAAGATGGGGAAACATCTTACTGGTTTATGTGATTGGTGTAATACCACAGAAACAATAGAACATGTTTTTATTAATTGCAGGAAATATGTGGGTCAAAGAAGATTATTGAGAATGGAAATAGGTTGTAAAAGGGAACTAAAATTTGAAAATGTGGCTTCGCAGCTGAATAGTGAAGAAGGGAAAAGAAAGATATTTCGTTTTTTAAATAATACTGGACTCAATAAGAGAATTTGAGGAAAGAAATTAACTTATAGACACCAAGAGATGGCAGTAGTGCAACATTGATGGATGCAAGCTGCCGTTAAAAACCAAAGAAGAAGAAGAAGAATGGATTCAGAACAGGTGCGGTTCTACGAACGGATCCGGTTCGGTTGATTCAGGTCCTGCTTGGCGGTGGGTTGTTAGTCTTTTTATCTGACCATGTTATGTGATTTACTTTTAATTCAGTGGATAGAAAGTTCCTCAGAACCAACGAGCCGATTCGGTTCTACCGAACATTTAATAGTTATTTAGGTAGATTTGACTCCGTGATTACTTTAGTAAAAGTAAAATAATCAAACAGCGCAGATTTAATTATTACACCTGAAGATGTCTGTAAAAATGTTAGAAAGACAGAGCTTTCCACCTTCCAGGCTTCCGTAGATTCTAGTTGGAATAAGCCTTAAATAGACTTTTACTTTATTATAAAATACATTACAAAATAAAATACTGTGTGCGCGCGCACAGCTCCAAGTCACAACAGAAGTAATCTCAGGGCACTGTACAAACACATTCACCTACAATATAAATGTCAATTAGTAAAAGTTATCCATCTAAGGAAGTAGCAGATTGTGTTGAATCTTCACTTCGTCACAGTCTCCTGTTCTGAGCAAGCACAAAGGAGACGGATGAAAAGAAAAACTCCCTTTAACAGGAAGAAACCTCCAGCAGAACCAGGCTCAGGACGAGCGGCCATCTGCTTTGACCGGCTGGTTTGAGAGGACAGGAAGTAGAAACAAACACAGAATGACTGGTCCAGATGTAGTTTCAATAGGAGGAAAGACAAAAAGCTTAAGATAGAAATAATTACAAATACAAACAGGTAGAGTAAAGCCAGCAACAAAGTGCAGTGTTTCCCTTAGACAGCTTGCCATGGCAAGGTGCTCATCTCATCCATGACTTTTGCTGATGGGGGGGCGACATGTCTGAACACAGCTTGTACTAACAGGTTTTGAGTGGGAGCGGGGGGCGTTCAACATGAGGGAAGAGGCAATGTGAGTGCTGCCTTTGGCTTTTTAGCTAGAGAGCCTGTATTTTGTGCCGCTAGCTTAGTGATATGTCAGTGCCGGGTGGGGGTGGGAGTGGTAAGTTCAGTTTGGTAGGCGGGGTGCTCAGTTCTGTTGACAGGGTGGGGCACCCCTCCTGTATAATGGTAGGGGAAACACTGGAGTGAGGAAATATCAATTTGTTCTCCAGCAGTCTAAGCCTATAGCAGCAGAACTAGTAGCTCAGGAAATCCAAGCCAACTCATAACTACAGAATTTATCAAAAAGTAAAGACTTAATCCCAGTCTTAAAACTGGACAATGTGTCAGCCTCATGAACAGAAACTGGAAGTTGGTTCCACAAGAGAGGAGCCTGATAAATGAAAGATCTTCCTCCCATTCTCTCTCTCTCGCTCTGCGTGTGTGCGTGTGCGTCCAAGGCTGGGAGTGGTGGCGCATAGGTTAGAGAAGGTGGGCCTGGGATCGGAAGATCGCTGGTTCAACTCCCGGTACCAACAACGTCAAAAATGTGGGTGGGATAGGTGAAGCATCCACACCTGCCTCCACCCTCATTTGCCCCACTCTGGGCCCTTGAGCAAGGCCCTTAACCCCCATCATCTGCTCCCCCGGGCGCTCTAGATAGCAGCTCTCTGCTCCACACAGAGAGCTGTGGTAGCTCAGTGGTCTGTGGTTGTGTCTGGAAGGACATCTGGTGTAAAAACAGTTCCCAAGTCTCCTCAAGACAACAAACTCAGAACCAATTCAGTTTATTTATATAGCACCAAATCACAACAAAGTTGTCTCAGGGCACTTTACAGAAACATTCACATACATAAAAGTAAAGTTCTCTAAGGAATCCAGCAGACAAGCTGAATCTTTACTTCGTTGCAGTCTCCCATCCTGAGCAAGAACAGTGGCAACAGTGGGAAGGAAAAACTCCCTTTTTAAAAGGAAGAAACCTCCAGCAGAACCAGGCTCAGGACAAGCGGCCATCTGCTTTTACCGACTGGTTTGAGAGGACAGGAACACCGGACTGGGAGAGTTGTTGTCAGACGGGTTTGTGATGTAGAACCAGGAAACAAAGCATGAACCAGATAAGAATAGAAGACTCTGTTCTGGTTCACGTCCGAGATGAATGTGTTCTTGTCCATCTGTTGAAGGGAACCTGAAATGTCCTTCTGTCCTCCACTGGTCCTGTTGTCTCCGGTTTCAGATAAGCTGCAGAACAAACTGAGGTATGTCAGGTTCTCAGCTGATGCCTCCTTCAGAATCACCTCGTTGGAGATAAATTCTGTTTTAAAAACTTACAAATCTTTAGAACATCTGGCTTTAAAGATTAAAGAAGGTGTGGATTATTGGAAGGAACCTAGAGCTCTGGATTAGGAGTTTTAAACAGGATTGGATGTTAGAAAGTTTCTGGACAGGTGGAGGTGGTGCTGGTGAGGGATCTGTAGCTCCGGTACAGTTCTGTGGCTCATTTGTTCTCAAACATGCATGTTTCTGTTTGGACTTGGTTCTGCAGCTGAACACAGGATGAGTGGTGATGAAGAAGTCCAAAGTGGGCGGAGTCTTCATCTTTGTGATCTGTCTGATGGTCTACCTGATGTTTGTGAAGCACCACTACTCCACCCGCAGACCCGACACCCACAGACCACCTCCACATGTCCAGCATGGACCGCACAGAAATGAAGAGGACAATGGTGACAGCTTCCAGTATGGTGTCATGTTTGATGCTGGGAGCACCGGGACCAGAGTCCACATCTTCAGCTTCCAGATGGACCAAGGTGAATAAACTTGTGTTGGTGTTTGGTCAGCAGCCTGCTTCCAGCCTCGGATCATGTCGGATGTGAAGCAGAACGGTTTTTTCTTTTTTGTAATTTTTTTTTTCTTTTGCTGTAGAAGTAGAAGAACGTGAAAACACCAATGAATAAAACAAAACAAATGAAGTTTTGGATAGGCTTACTTGACAACCAGATACCTTGGTACAAACGCAGTACTGCATCATAAAATAAGGGTAGTGGGTGGGTGGAAGATGTGGTTTTACACCAAGTCCGACCTTACAGGCTTTACATACTCTGACCGTTTTGACCAAATTCTATAAAATGTATCTGTTTGAATTATGAGAGAAAATTCAATATTTTCCATTATATAAATGTAGTATGTCATATGCTGGATATATTCATACTTTTTTCACGAGTTCCTCATCTTTCTGACTGTGTAAATGTCGTGCATTGAATTTAACAGAAATGTAACGAGAGACGTTATTATCTTTGACCCATCAAAATGAATGCGGTCATTTATTTTCAGAATCAAAGTTTAACATCAAGCATTTACATTAATTTGGCAAAATATGAAAATAATAACAGACAAGTTTCACAGATAATGGACTTCAATCACACGGCGGTGATTGAGGACTTTGCTTCAGATATCTCTAAGATATCTGTCAAATGAATTTAGGAGAAAGGAGAGTTTAAGATGGAAGATGGAGATTTATCTTACAGAGTGATTTGTGAGGGAATTAATCTGTTTGACCAGAAACGTGCACGCTCCTTCAGATCTCAGCTTGCGACGGTACGCTTGGTCGAAGTGGACTGTTACCTGGTTGATGATAGGTCAGCGTCGGTATAGGATCCTCCTTTGACTCTTTCAACGTCTCCGTTGAGAGCAGCTGAAATCCTTCGAGAGTCGTGCGAGGTTATTCAAACAGAAGTTATAATCCCAAAACGTCTCTGGATCATCCTGAATGCGTTTGCATCCAAGAACTCTGAACTCCTTTCATCTCCTTAGCACTCTCTATCAGACTTCCGACATCAGACTCTAGAGAACCGGGAAGTTGCCACATTTTAAATGAGTTGACTTCCGGGTCAATTTAGAGCTTTCTGATTCGTGGATGGACCAGAATAGAGGTGTGTTTTGTGACGTAAGATGTTATCAAAAGTCAAGGGCAGAGAATGAGATTGCTTAACAGACAGAAAAGATTATTGGAGAAACACCAGACTTCGTGGAGTCAAACTCCTATTATCTTCTGAAAAAGTTTAAACATGACATTTCTTCTCAGTAAACATTTTAGTTGACCGAGACTCGACCTTTAACATACTTACAATCTTGCTCATTGCAGACAGAAAATTCAAGAAATGCATATTAACCTGATTTCTTCTTTGAATGAGGAATAAAAATCATTACTTACTGTTTATGTAAAATAAAAATGAGTAGTTCTCTTCAACCTGTAAGCATTGAGTGAACTAACACAATTTGATTATCAAACATTTGTAAAATAGTAATGATCATAGAGGATTGTCTTTTCTACTTGATTAATTCAAGAAAGAAAGTCTCCAGATGGCTCAAACTGTATTTCTGGATGCAGATCAATGAAATAACAGTCTCTGTCCATCTGGTCAGTTCTTAAGGTCAAGTGTTTCGACCTTAGGCTTATTACTTCAGGTTAGGTTCACTACAGTCCCCCCTTTGGAAATCATCACCTGTCCATGGGGATGAATTCCAACCGTGAACTTAGACCTTCAAATGTCCTTGAGCTTGATGTAATCCAGCAAGGAAGACCAAAGTCAAAAGTAATCCAGCAAGGAAGACCAAAGTCAGAAGTAATCCAGCGAGGAAACAAAGTCAAGGTAATTCCACAATGTTCTTGATAATTCCATTGTGTTGATTATAATTCCATATCGTCTCGATAATTCCATTGTAGCAATGCTTTAACCCCTTGGAAACAGAGTCTGTAATCCATTGGAAAAAGTCATATAATCCACAACGGTAATCCACAACGACTGGAAGTGTTGATTAATCAGCATACAGAGGGGTACCCTTGGGTTGAACTGAAGAAGCGGCCACTGGATGAAGAGTGGAGACCAACGTCAGGATTGCAGGTCGCCTCCAGCGAAGGTTGTCTCCAGCGACGTCCAGCCTGTGCCGTTCTGGTTCAATGTGTCATGCAATTATGTGGTTTAAGGTGGGCTTATGAAGGGGATTTTACATAAGGCCTTAAACTATATGCATCTGGTGTGTAAGCTATTATGGTTGGGAACAGCTACAACTACCAGTTAAGGGGTGGAGAATGCTGAAAAGGGGTACTACAGGGGTTTATGCCTATAGAAAAGTGTTCCAAACTATTTTTCCATTTCTAACTTGGTTTAAGTTAGCTTTACATGGTAAAATATAGTTTGGTGCAATTGTCTGTTGTCTTTTAGACGAACGACTTGAGATTGGGTGTTTGGTTTTCCCATAAATGTTTTGGAAGTCTATGGCGAGACTTATCAAAAAGAATT